CTCATTAAACGGTCCGTGAAAAAAATATCTTTTCCAGCGGATATCTTAGTTACAACATGATTGAGCTATGATTGAGCGTTTTGTGTTGCTATGTGTGGTATTTATTCAGTTTTGGGAAATCACGATGTCTAGAAAGCATCAGTGGCTGCAGCTGACAGGGACAGCTAACAGCAGCAGGAAAGCTAACATCAGGACTTCATCTGTTAAAAGCCTCCCGTTGTCGGATACGACATGAAACTACTCCAGTTAGCTCAATTATGTTGTAACTAAGACATCCGCTGGAAAAAATATTTTCTTCACGGATGAGCACATGTTTGATAAAACGGAGTTAAATCTCTCGGCATCCATTTTCAAGATCTGTGTGTGTCTCTGTGTGTTTGTTTCCTTGCAGACGAGAAAGGAGGAGCGCACATTTCCAAGAAGGCGTGTCCTTTTCAAAAATGCAAGAGGCGTTGCTTTGTTGCTGGCCGTTTTCTCCGGTGTGTTAAACACACTTTAGAAAGGAGTGTCCCCAGACTATCAGAAGGCGGAGATCTCTGATTGTCTGGTGGCGAGACTATCTAGCCCTCAATGAAATAATTTAATCTAATCACAGGTCATTTCAGGGAAAGGGCGTTCCTATAAAGGGGCAAAGGAGTGAGTTCACAAACCCAGAAACAAGTTAGCACCCCTGGTTCGCTCATCTTTAAGTCAGTGGGTTTTTTTAATAGGTTGTGGTTACATGCCTTATATATGGTCTGTGGTTAACACAAGCTTAAGAGACTTTCTAGAACATAAAAAAACATCATTATACCCCACTCCTGAATTCTGAAGCTTTTAGATGCCTTAAAATGGTGGTTGCCAACAAATGGCAAAGGGAAGCCCCTTTTACACTGCCAGATTTTCCACGGATGTTGGGCCGTTTTGCCGGCAAGCTGCGAGCGTTTAGACACACAGAGCCAGATTGGCGAGTTGATCCGAAATGCCCAATTTTCCACCTCGTAGGGTAGTCATATTGGCATAACCCTTTTTGTTTAAACAGACTGAGGCGGCCTTCCGCAACAGGAGGGGCTGTTGATGACTTGTGGGAGGAGCTGTTGATGAGGCCGCACATGCGACCCACTGGCAGTGGATAAACAGGAGACAGCTGATAGCAGGAATTAGTGAGCAGCTAGTAGCAAGAGGGAAACACAAACTTGACAGCAGTGGCGATTGCTCTAAGACTGCAAGGGAAGCTCAGCTTTCCCTAAAATGTCAAAAAATAAGTGGTCAAATATGTACTGTTGTGTTTACATTTCATTGACTAAATATGTGCTAGAACGCGTTCAGCTTTTGTTCAGAATCAGCTACTTATCACAGGTCACTGATGCGACTTTCTTCTCATTCATTCCCGTAGCGTCACAGTGCATTAAACAGTAGAAGCTCAACGTCCAAAGACTTCAATGGGGAAGCATAGAGTGGGTTGTTCCACTGCAGTGAAACTAGACAGTCATTGGATAAATGTTCGGTTTTGTCCCGCCCATCGGATGCTCAGCGTCTCTGGGGGTCTATGGGGCAGTGGGCTGGCCTCGGCTGGCCTGGACGCTGGGCTTCTGCATGATGATTGGATGATCTGTCTGAGGCTGAATCCCTTTTTGATTGACATCGAAATGAGCGAATCAGCGATCTTGAAATATAAACCACCACCGGAGCATTTTTCAAGTTTCATTCCGTTGTTCCGAGTTGATCTGGAGACTTTTCCAATCCTTTTTCTTTGTTAAAAATGACTAGTGACAAATCTAGCATCTTTTTCTGGTGTTATTGGAGACTGTACTCGTATTTGGAGACTCTGACTTCTGTCGCTCTGCAGTTACTGTCCCCAACCAACAGCGGGTGCTGCTGTGAGCCGCTCCACCATCCCAAAGCACTCACAGGCGGTCACACTAGCCTCGCGCAGCAGCCCCAGAGGGTAGAATTTACGTATAAATAAACGGACACATTTTATGATGTAGGCCGAAAATGAGCTTCCCCTCCTTGAAAGACCAGCAGCCGCCACTGGTAGACATCACTGTAAAGATGAGCAACTGGGGAGACAAGGCATCACGTGCCCTCCTTGTCCTCACAAACAAAGAGGCCATTAACTGTCAGATGACGAGGACGATTTACGAGAGTATCGCCGCCTGATTATCGCCGCCTGACTAGCCGCAGTTTCCCTCCCACGTCACTGTTTACGTCACATGCTGAGCTACATGTTTTGTTACTTGCTCGCACATTCTGTATAAACAAAAGTAGGTAGGCAGCAATTTGCCGCACTCCCCGATTTTGTTTTTATACTGCCAATGCTGAAAAAAGACTGATTGGGCTTTCCTGCAAATTTGCACAATTCCTACCTAAAAAGGGCTGGAGACTACAGAACGTCATTACACTGACCATGGCTTTACAGCTTCGTTGTGGTGGTGACGCTGAAGTCATGTGACCGTCATGTAGTTTGTTTGGAACCTAACATTAGCTTTTTACTTCTGGTGATTGCATTCAAGCCTCAAAAATTAGAAACGTGGTGTTCATTTATGAAGATTATCTTGCTGAACTTAACTTTGAAGTGTCATAAACATTTGTTTGCCACAGATCTTACTTTCTGCAATAATCCAAAACTCAATGGAAAAATTGCAATGGCTTTTTGATGAGGGAACTTCTACGTCAGTCTACAAATAAATGTTATGCCTGCGGCAAAGTTGCTATTCCAGCATTGGTAACAACTGTCAACACTGCAAAGAAACCCAAAAAAGGACTTAGAAAAAAAAACAGAGTTTAAAAAAGAGCCTGACAATGAACAAAATAAAATATAGCTATAGTGTTTCAGAGATGGTGAGAAGCCTTCTGTGAACTGGAGCCAAAGGCCCACAACTGTGGCTTCAAGCCCATGTTTATGTAGCAACTTTATCTAACATAAGAGCCCCAGTATAAATCACAATCCATCTTCCGCCTCACTCCACCCCATTACAGACCACCTCACTGGGAAGGGAGCAGGCAGCAGCTCCAGAGACAGAACCCCAGTTGGTGGCTGAAGCAACCCGAATTCAGCCAGTACAAACCCCATCCCTGTCTTGCTGCCAGATTAGCTAATTTTCTGCCGCTATGGTTACACAAGTTAGACCTTGAGCTGCCGCTGGTATACATACACTGCAAGTCGGCCACACAGCACCTGTCTTGGTGGCATGGCAGGCCGCTGGCAGGTTGAAACGCTGTAATAACAACAAAATACAGTATAAGGAGCTGCCCCCCACCTGCCTATAGGGCCGGGTTGGTGGATGGGTCCAATAAACCCCGGACTTTTATCTGGGAGCCTGGTGTTTGCTTCCTGAGTGCTAAACCAAGATGTTTTTTCTAAACCTAACCACATGCTTTTTTATGGGGTCAGATCAGTCTCATAATAAATGAACTCACGCAGGGTTTTTCACGAATGCACACGCTCTGGTTCACAGTTATATTTCAGACTCACTAATGCACACGATCTGTTTCGCAATGCACACACTCTGGTTCACAAATATAATGTTTATGCAAACTTGTACTATAAATTCGGAAATGCACATGATCTCTTTCGCAAATGCACACGCTCTGGTTCACAAATATAATTTTTATGCAAATTTGTAATATAAATTCGGAAATGCACATGCTCTGCTTCACAAATATTATTTTGAGGCACACTTGGAATATAAATTCACAGATCATGCGAATCGCTGAATGTGCATTTACAAACTGCTTCTCATTTGTGAACCTCTCTACATTTGTGAGAGAAATCTGTTTGGTGAATTTTGAGACTCCCCTGACGTTGCAGGTCAACGAACGTCACCATTGGCTGATAAATCTGTCAATCAAATTTATGATTCTGATTGACAGATTCATCAGTTAATCAGGTGTGTTCGCTTTCAGCCAGTTGTATGGCTTCTTACATTTTCTCCACACTTTTAAACCAATCGCAGAGCTACTGTTATGTGCGCATGCGCAGTGCAGTTCAAACAAGATGCGCTAGACTGAAATGGCGGACAGGAGCCATGGTGGAAGAGACATGGATCAATCTCAACCTGTAAGTAACACATTTATCTTATTATCCCCTTGTTGTAAATCATGCAATGTTATTGAATAATAATGAGTTGAAGCGTTCTGCTTAGCCAAGTAACATGTTTGAATGAACATAAACTATGAATACACCCTATGTAAGGAGCCATATTATTGGCTGAAAGTGAACACACCTGATTAACTGATGAATCTGTCAATCAGAATCATAAATTTGATTGACAGATTTATCAGCCAATGGTGACGTTCGTTGACCTGCGACGTCAGGGGAGTCTCACAAATGTAGAGAGGTTCACAAATGAGAAGCATTTTGTAAATGCACATTCAGCGATTCGCATGATCTGTGAATTTATATTCCAAAATACTCAAAATAATATTTGTGAAGCAGAGCATGTGCATTACCGAATTTATATTACAAGTTTGCACTAAATTTTTTATTTGTGAATCAGAGCGTGTGCATTTGCGAAACAGATCATGTGCATTTCCGAATTTATATTACAAGTTTGCATAAAAATTATATTTGTGAACCAGAGCGTGTGCATTTGCGAAACAGATCGTGTGCATTAGTGAGTCTGAAATACAATTGCAAACCAGAGCGTGTGTATTCATGAGAAACTCTGCGTGAGTTTATTCATTATGAGACTGATCTGACCCCATACTTTTTTCACCTAATCCCAACCGTGTGCTTTTGTTGACATCCTGGAATTAGCAGTGTGTCCTGGAACATCAAGAGCAGACGCAGAAGACTATCTAGTACGTAATATGTAGATGTGAAAGGCCACTGACAAAGAGGCAATATGTGATGGTTTGGGATGAGAATGTGTTGCCCTAACCCAGCTTTAAGACCTGAAGAATATTTAGGTGGCACCATTTCACTGTATTATCAGCTATAACTTAAGCTGTTGGTGATGCTGCCACTCACAAAGGTTTGCATTGCTGATCATATTGAAACGAGAGTCTACACTCACCTCTTCACATATGTGATTGAGTCTTTCTCCACAGTTGTGGTAGCAAAGTCTGGTTTTAGTATCACTGAAGCCAAGCAGAGCCAAGCAACCCCGCGGTTTTAAAACCCGACTTGCCTCAGCCAGAAACCTCGACCGATCGAACCAGTGGGCTGCTGACGCTGCTGTCAACAAGTCCACAGAGCAGTCTGGAAAAGGGAGTTCCTCTGCCATCCCCTGCCTGCAGGTCCAACAGACAGGTTACACTGCTAATTTCTCTCAAAATTTTCGAGATACCTCTTGAAAATTACCATTCCATCTTTATTCTTTATTTTCAAATAGTAATTATGTCCACACATATAGGGCAACTCATACACTCCTACCTGTATGTGATGTTAGGGTACCCTGGCACAGCTCTGGCCTCCTCCAGTTGACACTCGCTGACGTCAATGCCCACCACTTGCTGGAAGTGTGGTGCCAGTAGCCGAGCATTCTGACCTGTCCCACACCCCAGATCCACTGCCAGCACATGTGGTTGTCCCTTCTGAGGATGTGAACAGATATGTAGGGATTGTTATCCATATATTGCAGAAGTTTGTGCATCCAATAGGCAGAAATAATGCAATAAGACAACAGAATACATAATACATATATGAATTATGCAGTAACATGTACTCATATAACAGTTTGTGTGATATGTCACGAATAAGCCGCCCACGAATGATGTTACATTCTTAGTGTAAAGTTATGTAAACAACATTATAGAGCTTAGGTTTAGGCAATTTGAAGTTACTGTGGTTAGGGTTAGGAAAAGAAACATGGTGTGGACATACCTTAAAATCATTCATAGTTCACTCAAAGTTTGACGCATCCAAACATCCATCTTCTAGGGAAATTCCTGAGGGAAAGTCCTATGTTTTGTGACCCATCCACTGCCTCAACCTGCCTCTTGAGAGACCACTGAGAACGTGAATTTGTGTTTCCTAGGATAGTGAAGGAATGACCTGCCCTACTCTGCCTTATTCTGCCTCTGAGTGGCTTACCTTGACATTCTTACCCTAACCCTAACCTATCTCACTCCTCTTGCCTAACCCTAACCAACTCTAACCAACCCAACCAACGAAGGAAACGTGCACTTGCTAGTCAGAGGGAGATTAGGGTGAGTCATTCCTTCGCTATCATAGGAAAGACAAATTTGTGCTTGAGATTTTCTTTGGCGCATTGGTCATGTGATCGCAACCCTCTAAAATCTGTGGGTTATGCATGAATTACTAACTCATCATTACATTGGAAATGTACAAGTTTTGGTGGGTTGCTTTTCACAGGAAATTGTACGACCAGTGCATGAGAATAGCCTTCATAATTACAGCATATTTGACCATTGCATACCTTTGTATCAAGATACTGAAGAATAATCTTCTTGAGCTCATCTGGAGGTGTAAAGCGATACTTTTGGTAGACAGAGGCATGATCCTTCCCCTCGAACAGTCGGTGCGTCATGTTGGTGTGTTTTAACTTGTTCTCTTTCTGCTCTGTTGCTAATTAATCCTTCTCCAACCTCTGTTCCAAAACAGTCTCCTTTGTTTGGCTTTATTCTTTTTCTGTCTCCCGTCTTGTTTGCCTTTGTTGTGCTCCTTTGCCTTTAGCCTCTTTCGCCCTTTATATATTTGCTCTCTTATCTTGCACTTTCTTATCCTCCTTCTGCTGTTGACTCCCGCACACTCACACACTCTGCTCTACTACCAGCATTTAACTCTTCACCCACTTCCTGAGGTGTAGACACAGAAGGAAATAGTGACTGAATTAAACAGTCAGTCACAGAGTAAATAAAAGCAGCCATCTCAAACATGGGAGTGCAAATACATTTACAACTTTGAAGGAAGAGTTACACAGATCAAAGTAAAAACATTACATTGTCTTACTTGTTGAACGCTTCCCTTCATGCCACAAGTCTTTGTAATAACTCAGCTGCAAAGCAGTTAATAATTCCTGACAGAGGCAGGGCATATTGCTTAACTCTTTCATGGCCAGACATTTCCCTTAGATTGTGTATTTACAGCTGCTTATTGACATGATAATGAATTATGTTGTGAAATTACATGTAAAGTAGTAGAAAACATGTTGGATCTTAGTTACTACACTCCTGGTGGCAAATCAACATATCTGCACGTGCTTACAACGTTATTATGGTTTTGTGTTTTTCATTCGTCTTTATTTTTATTTTATTTTTTATTTTTATTTTCCAATTCGGTTTAGTTTCACTTAGTTTTGCTGTGTGTTTGCTTGTTTCAGTTTAGTTTTTATTTACTTAAAATGTGTAGTTTTCATTTAGCTGTTATTTTGGTGAGTTTAGTTTTATTTGTATCGTAATTATGGGGGTATTTGTCAGGGGCAAGAATTAAAGGAGCAGTGTGTTAGACTTAGGGAGAATTAGTGGCATCTAGTGGCGAGAATTATAGATTGCAACCAGCTGAAACTTCTCCTGGTTAAAATTCCTTTAGTGTTTTACTTTTTTTTTTCTTTTTTTTATATTTTAAAGTGTATTTTACCAGGAAGGCCCATTGAGATACACAGGAGAGACCTGGTAAAAGCAGTGGCCGCAGAAAATCACAACATATTAAAATACAACACGATATATAAAAAAATTCACAATAAAACAGAAGAAGAGCTATTTAACACATTGGTCCTTTAAGAATAAAAACCCCATGCCTCCACTACCATATGCTTTATGATGCCCTACATTCATCAAAGAAATGTAGAAATTCCAGTCTCAATAAACATTGTGCACTAACGCCTCTTCATGCTGTCTGTGTTGACAAATTTAACCAACTGACACTGAAAGCTTAAAACTGAAGACATTTCCTGAATATTTTTATTTTAGTTAGTTTTGTGAATACATCATATTGTTTGTAAAGTCTACTCTAGGTTTTTTTTATTTAACTGAAATGTCTTTTCCCACCTAGTTTTAGATTTTAGTTTATTTAACTATACTCACCTTTGGTTTGGGAACATCACTAACAGTTTTTCAGTGTCAAATGCATGGCATTCCTGGAATTTAAGCTCATACTGAATGGAAAGATGTTTCAACAAATTTTTGGTGTTTCCACCCTTACTTGAATTTATCATTTTACAGACATTACAAGCAGCACTATCATCATCCTTCTTTGTGAAAGAAAGCCACGCTTTGGACCATTTCTTCCTCTCTGACATGGCTCCTTCTTGTTGCAAGTTTTTAGCAGCATAGACATGAGTTTAATGACATTGTTTTGCACATCTGTCAGAAAAACATGCCAGCATCGACAAAAGGGATTGATAAGCTCTGAGGCATACCCTTTTGGTGGATAGGACAATTTGGAACCGGTTCTCGACTGGAATCGGTTCTTGTTTCCTATCTCTAATATTTTTATTATTTAAATCTGGGTTTTTTTGTTTTGTTTTCTTTTACATATATCACGGTCAAATGTAAACCTAAGCTGCTGTATATACTGAACTATATGTATATGTAGTGTATGTAATACACTGTACATACACATTTGTACTACTGTGTTATTATTTACAATCTCCAAAAACAGTCTGACTTGTAGACATTGTATCTTGTTTTTTTTGTAGTTTTAATATATATTTATATATATAACTATCATAACTATCCTTCGCCTATTTGTAAGCACATAATAAATATTTGTTTACTTTTGTTCAGCTTTGTTTTCCTTGTTTTTAGCTGCATTTCTGTTTCTGTGTATGTAGATAGAGAGCAACAAAAACAGAGTCAAATTCCTTGTATGTGTACAGCCAATAATATTGATTCTGACCTTGAATCTCTCATGTGCTCTCCTCAAGCTACATCCTTAAAGGTGTGTAGGATTTAGTGGCATCTGGCATTGAAGTTGGAGAACTGAAACCTTTCCCTTGTGCTAGGCATGTAGGAGAACTATGATGGCCAGAATCAGAAATGGCCTTATCTAGAGCCAATATTTGATTTGTCCATTCTGGGAATTGGCTAACAGCAAGGGTGTAGTGGGGACGACTAGGGTGGAGAAAACAAGACTAATACAGAACAGTTGTGAAGGGACTCTTGGAACAGGGAAGGACCCACAAGACTGGTGGAAGACAGATGTGACAGAAAATAAAACAGGAAACAGATTAAACATGAATGAATCACAAAACAAGGAAGAAGACAAACAAAAACAAAAAAACCCCCGATAACATAATATTAACAAAAACCCAGGATCATGACATGGCTACCGTAGAACTATGGTGTCCTCCTCTTAAGACCCGCTCCGCATGTAGATATAAACAGCTCATTCTTAGGTAATGAAAATACAATTTTCAGGTGACTGTAAACTAATGAAAATATAGTTGTGGATATTAGATACAGTTTTTGCCCATACTTGCCCCTAAATCCTACACACTGGACCTTTAATTACACCTTTTATCTTAAGAATCATTTATGATAAGTCAGGGGTAGTAACGAAAATCATTTTAGCTCAAAACTAGCTTTTCAGGTCTCTTCACTCTCTCGATTCAATCAGGACTGTTTTTAAGAAAGGTGATGACAGAGAATATTGTCAAGTTAATCTTTCACTTCCTGCTTGTATATGGTGCAATGTTTGACTAGGTTTTAAATCTGGCATCATCACAATTACATCAAGTCCAGTGACCAGCAGTGTCTCCAGAAATCACTTTTAGTGCAATGTACATTGAACAAAAGAGCCAAAAAAGTTAGTCATTACTTCTGTCATATCAGTCCCTACAAACATGTGAGGTCACAAGGTCAGTCATTTCTGTCTTTCCAAAACCACTGCCTAACCCTACTGATTTGTGCTTGTTAAAGTTTATTTTTCATTCTCTTGACCATGTGCTAAAGTGAAAAACATCTTTGTTTTGGTTTGGTTGCCCAGGATGGCCCTCCAGGGTAGCAAAGCGTGTTTAATTGCTCTCGAGGGATAATGGAGATAATGGCCTGTTGACCATTTGCAACTTAGTTATTCTACCTTAATAACCTTTGAAAAGTATAGTGTGTGCCATCCCATGGGCTCTCATTAGTGCTGACATCATCAGACATTGCATCAGAGGCAATGAGTGAAACCCACATTTATCCCTTCAAATGTCTTTTCAAATTTTAATTCACTAAAACGTATCTCAGGCCATTACACAGTGACACCATTCCCTAAGCTCTGTGTTTCAACACCTGGTGGCAATACACAAGGGAATTCAGGGCAGTGGTGGGCATTACCAAGGGCTGAGGGACTAATAAAAGTCATTACAGTAACCTTACATCACCCATGACCCTTTGAGTGTGTGTTTGACCACTTGTTTTGAAAAGTGTATCATGGTCTTGAAGATAAGCAAAAGATTACATCACATGTTTCATGATGGGTTGTTTTTCTTGTAATCCCTCTGAGTAACTCAGGTTGGTACACAGGGTTTTACAGGAGTCATTGTTGGATACTTGTATGAAGTTAAACCAGTGCCTTATTATAAGATTTATACATCTAAACAATTATTTGATGATCAATAATTTCTAGAGAATAATATTTCTTAATGCCTGTTAACCTGGTTGTATTATTACATGAAGAAATCTTGTACACTGCTATAGCTACAATACAAAAACACACCTTTATGGAGTTCAAAGTACCAACATAATCAATATAATGTAACATAATGCTGAAACCTCAGAGCTGGTTTGCCAGAATGAGAAGTTTTATTAGCAGTTGTTTGTCAGTATTTTCAGTCCATAAGTATCAGAAATCATGTCAGGACCTGCTAGACGTGCATTTGTTTCCTTATTTGCTTACTAAAGAATAATCTCTCTATACGTTTATTTTCCTTACTGTCAACAAATCCCATGAAAATGAATGAATTGATCCTGATAGCAAGTATTGTCTGTGTAACCAAGGTCTGATACAGAGTATTCCTCTGTTCCACAGAGCTCCACTACACATTTGGGTTTACAAGGTCTGTCCAGCAGCCTCCCCTGTCATCTGATCCAATTCACCACCAGGTGGTGATCAGTTAACAGCTCTGCTCCTGTCTTCACCGGAGTGTCCAAGAGACACCGCAACAGGACTGCTGACATGACTATAAAGTTGATCATCTATCTTTGGCCTAGGGTGCTCTGGCACCAGATACACTTATGAACCTCCTTGTGCATGGGCGTAGCAGACATGGGGTACGCGTGGGACATGTCCCCCGCACTTCCCATATCTGTGCCCTCCATCCCCCGCACTTTTCACAGCTGTATGGTTACCACCGTTCAATTTGTTTTTAACATGTGGTAACGTGTTTTTCCGAGCCGTCTTTATATGCACCATGAGTAGACAGCGCCAGGCGGCATACACATGCTGTCATGTTGTGATCAGAATCAATCAGACGAGATGTGTGCTACTGGGCAGTGCTGCTGTGTGTTAACTATGTTCAGCAAACCAGCCAGCAAGAAGCAAAAAAACTTGCATAGTTTCTTCCAAACAAACCGTGTAAGTTGAGTAATGCTGTTGCATGTATATAATATTTGCTAAATGGTGACAAATTAATAGAGGCCAATATATCAAGTTAAGCTAGTTAACAAGAATGTTAGAATGTTATTGTTACCTCTGTTAAATCGCTTGCTGGCTAGTTTCACGCTAGGAATAAACCCACTCCTCCTTTCAACACTAGACACCCTCATCAAAGGCGGCCAGCTACAGGGTGATCAAGCCTGAGCTTGTGTCCCATGCCCAATCATGAGATTTGCCTGGTTGTTTAAATGACACACCCCAAGTGACTATGCCAGGGCAGGGGCGTCCTTTTCCCTGAGTCAAGCCTAGAGCTGTCTGCGTACCTTGTTCACCCTCCTCCTGAAGGGTTCTGGCCTGGTTTCTCAAGTGGGTGGGGGGGGGGGGGGGGGGGGGGGGTTAGTGAGTGGGTCATATTGGTGTTCTTTGAGCCCAGCAAGGGTGCTTCCGCTTGATCCATATCCACTGGCTGCTTCTTTCGGCTGCTTCAGAGACTGATCTAATTGTCTGCCACAGAGCCTGTCCATGGATACCAAGGTCTTTCAGCAGCCTGATGGTGGAAGAAGCCACAAAACCTCTGCATCCCACTTCGACCGGATAGACCTTCGCATTCCATCCTCGTTGTTGTGCGTCTGCTGCCACTTCTGTGTAGCACAGTTTCTTGCGCTCATAGGCCTCTTCAGCTGAATTATCCCACGGGACTGTGAGCTCTGCGATGTAAACAGACTTCAGTGAAGGGGACCAGAGTACCAAGTCTGGTCTAACGGTGGTGGATGCAATCTCAGGTGGAAAGATTAGTTGCTGGCCAATATCCACTAGCATCTTCCAATCACGGGCCATGGCTAGATGTCCAGCTTCTGGTTTGGTAGGAGGATGGTTGGGCTTTTTCTGTCCCTCTCGGATGAATGTTGGTGCCATGATGGAGTTGGTTGCTCTCAGGGGCAAGGAGTTGGTGGTATTCCTCTTGCTCTCAAGAGTTGCTGCCAGACTCTTGAGGACCTGGTTGTGCCTCCAGGTGTAGCGGCCTTATGTGAGGCTGGTCTTACAACAGGTCATGATATGTTTGAGAGTCACTGGAGTTGGGCTGAGGGCACAGGTGGGGTCCTCGCCATACCACAGGTGGAGGTTTACTGGAGATGGGAGCACATCATAGGTAGCTCTGATGATGAAGCTGATGTTGCTTGCCTCCATTTCCCAAAGCTCCCTCCCGCTAGGTTTCTGTTCTCCAGGCCTCCCCACCTCATCTATTGTCCCTGCTTCACAAGAGAGACAGCCTTCATGCTTCTTTCAGCCTCCTCCTGACGGCGCACCTCCTCGACAACCATTTTCCTCCTCTCTGATTTTGAGGCCTTACGCCAAGTTGGTCTACTTGCTGCAAGGCCAAAGCCTCCTCTTCCCAGCTGGACATGCCCCACAATGTCGTTGTGCCTCAGAGCTGACACAGCATGCTGCACCGCGTCGGATGGTGTCCATTTCCATCTGGTTAACAGGGGTGGTGCAGCATTGCTGATGGTCTGGTCTCTGGAGTCCTTCAAAGTCATCTGGAGTCTTACTTTAGAGCACTTATACTCTTCGTTGAGGCTCGTGATGGGTAGTTCAAGGACCCCTTTGCCATAGAGGCCGATGTTGGTAAGACATCGTGGGACATTGAGCCATTTCTTCATGTATGAAGTCATGGTTCGCTCCATCTTCTCCACAGTTGTTATTGTGACCTCATAGATGGTGAGTGGCCACATTACCTGAGAGAGAAGTCCAAACTGCAGGCACCAGAGCTTGAGCTTCCCTGGCAGTAGGGTCTTGTTGATGTTTTCCAGACCGTTGGTAATGTCCTGCCTTAGCTGCTGCACTTGGTCTTTGTCCCTGAGGCTTGCATTGTACCATCTACCCAGGCTTTTCACAGGTTGCTCAGACACCACTGGTATTGGGTTGTCACCAATGCAGAACTTCATGTTTTTAAGCTCTCCCTTGACTATTGAGATGCTTCGTGACTTGTTTGGCTTGATTTTCATCCGGGCCCACTTGATGTTCTCCTGCAGTTTTCCAAGTAGCCTCCTGGTGCATGCTGCAGTAGTGGTCAGAATGGTCATGTCATCCATGTATGCTCTGATTGGTGGAAGGTGGATCCCGTTGTTAGTTCGCTCACCCCTCACCACCCATCTTGAGGCCCTGATGATGACTTCCATGGCAATTGTGATGGCCAGGGGTGAGATTGTGCAGCCTGCCATGATGCCCACTTCCAAGTGCTGCCATGATGTAGTGAAATCGGCTGTTGTGAAGCACAGTTGCAAGTCTTGGAAGTAGGCCTTTACCAGTGTAGTGATGGATGATGGTACGTGGAGGATTCCCAGAGAAGTTCATGGGGAACTGAGCCAAAGGCATTCACCAGGTCGAGGAAGATGACATGGAGGTCTCTTTTGTCCTTCTTTGCTGCTTGGATCTGGTGCCAGATCATACTAGTATGCTCCAAGCAACCAGAGAACCCAGGAATCCCAGCTTTCTATACAGATGTGTCGATGTACTTGTTCTTCTCCAGGTAGGTGGACAGTCTCTGCGCTATGACACTGAAGAAGATTTTCCCCTCGACGTTGAGAAGGCAGATTGGCCTTCTGCCACACTACCGTCATGAGCTTCCAAAGAAACTGTAGCACATCTGGTGCATTCGTGTAGAGCTTAGCAAAGATGATCATGCAGGGTCTTCACAGGTGAGGAGATATTATAACTGGCTGAGAGAAAATATCTTTAGCATAAAAGTGACTTTGAGGTCAATTTCCACAGCAATTTCACTACTACTATTCCTAATTCTATTTCAAAATTTTGCTTTCCACATATTTTTTTTTTTTGTATTTTTATTGCCACAATAGAAAGAGCAGGGTCAGGGAAGAGGGAGTGGACCAGAGGCCAGCGAGGGTGATCATGCAGGGTCTTCACAGGTGAAAAGAGATTATAACTGGCTGAGAAAAATATCTAGAGCATAAAAGTGACTTTGCGATCAATTTCCACAGCTATGTCACCACTACTATTCTTAATCCTATTATAAGTTTTGCTTTGCACATTTATTATCTATATTATTGCAATAGATAGTAGAGGGACACGGAGAAACCAGGCAGGTATCAGGACAGGGACCTGACAACAGCACCAATTATCAGCCCAAGGCTTCACAGGTAAGGAGAAATTATAACTGGCTAAGAAAATGTCTATAGGATAAGAGTGACTCTGATTAATTTTCACAGCTATTTCAGAACTACTCTTATTTATACTCTAAAATGTTTTTTGTCTATATTGCAATAGGTAGCACAGGGAGAAGGCTTAAAAATATTTGATTAATTTTGCACATCTGTGCTGTCATATTTGACTAAAATGTAAAATACATCTTGATGTTGATATGTTTAGTGTTGTGTCACTTTCTGTCTTCATGCCATTAAATTAAATTATGTGGCTTATTACCCTGTTACCTTGTCACTTCCATTCCATTTTGTAGGCTAATAACTTGCTAACAGGAATGGTGTTTTACTGAACTTTTTGTATTCAGTGTTGTGATTTGACACTTAGTTATCTGGCTACTTACCCTGTAGATGCTCGAGGGTAATTCTGTGTCACCTCAACCAGAGTTTGACAAGAACTAAAGTCGGTCCCCTGGTGCTATACTGTGGCTGTGTTATGTGGCTCTTTAGCTTCTAAGGAGAGGTGCAACTGAATGCGAGAGGATGATAAATCACTCAATAGACCTCTGAACAATTTGTCCCCCTCACTTCTGAAATGATGGCTACGCCCCTGTCCTTGTGTGAACATGGTGTTTGTTATGGCCAGTCTATGGCTTGCACAGAAGTCCAGTAACAAAACACCAATCGGGTTCAGATCAGACAGGCCATTCCTTCCAATCACCCCCTTCCAGATTTCTCCGTCACTGCCCATGTGAGCGTTTAAGTCCCCCAAAAGAACTAGTCCCTAGCATGCACCCCTTCCAGGACACTGCCCAAAGACTCCAAGAAGGCCAGGTACTCCATACTGCTGTTCAGTGCGTACGCACAAATAACAGTCAGAGACATGCTCTTGCAGCCACCACAACGCCGAGATTGTTTTATAACTATATAAATAACTATAACATTTAATGAAACCAAGATGTGATTTAAAGAACTAAGTGAACTAATTATTATTAAATTTAACAACTAAAAGCTGCCAGTAAGAAGCCTTTGGAATTGACATGTCAACTTTTGACATCATATTAGGATTTTAATGCTGCTGATGCTTAAGATCTAAGAATAATGCTTAATAGTTTAAATCCAAGATTTTCAGCTTTGAAGTTCCTTTTGCTGTCAATATGTGTTTTACCAAACTCAAAATTGTAGTTGAGGCTGTTGAAGAGACTTAATTCAAATCTTAACCTGCAGAGTTCAGTGGGGAAACAAGCTGTCGATATGTGATATCAACTTTGGCCTGATATTTTCATTAAACCGATTTATGGAAATGTATATATGCTATGAGATTTTTTTATCTTCCAAGCAATCTTTGCATTTTTAGTATTTGCCATTGTAAAGTAAATATCAAAATTGGGTCAGTGTGTTTTGCACACAATAACATTTTCCATTCTAGATTCCCCATGGAGGGATGACTGTGATGATGATGATGTGTGGCAGGTTAAATAGGCTCTCAGCTCTTCCTGTGAAGCCACAGCAGGCACCTGCTGTGCCACAGACTACACGCAGAGAAGAGTGGTGAAAACTATAACCGAGACTTGAGCTATTCTTATTTATGTACTGTTTTACTAATTGTTGATTATGAATACATGTTTATTACTAACTCATAATTATCTTGCATTATTTATCAGTCTTCTCTTGTTTGGTTCAGAATTGTCTTTATCCATCAAACAATCTCTGCTTCTGTCTATGGGGTAAATGGAAAACAGTACTAACCCTCCTTATTTTAACCTCACTGTGTTTGTGAACATGGGCAACTACCGCTATCTTACGTTTGTCCTGTGTCTCCTGTTGTATGCTTCCATTATCTCAGCTAATCTTGTCATAATAGTGGTGATATCACAAGAGAAAACTTTACATGAGCCCATGTATATTTTTATTATGTGCCTTTCTATTAACTCTCTGTATGGCTCTGCTGGCTTCTTCTTCAGATTTCTGGCAGACCTTCTGTCTGATACTCATTTGATCCCACGACCAGCTTGTTTAATTCAGATCTATGTCATTTACACCTATGCATCCTTTGAGCTCACCCTTTTAGGCATTACAGCCTACGATCGGTATGTTGCTGTCTGTCAGCCTTTACATTACCACAGCAAAATGACCTCTAAGATGGTCTCTAAGTTGGTTGCCTTTGCATGCATCTACCCACTCCTTTCTGTTGCAGTTTGTGTTTACATGGCCTCCAGACTTCCACTGTGTGGCAATAAGATACCTAAGGTATACTGTGCCAACTGGCCTGTTGTAAAATTGTCATGTGTCTCTACTGTCATTAACAACCTTGTTGGCATGATTGTGTCCGTAACCACAGTCTTTCTCCCCCTGGCTTTTGTTCTGTACACGTATGCACGAATTTTTCTCATTTGTAGGAAACGCTCCTCAGAGTTCAAGAGCAAAGTCATACAAAGCTGTCTGCCCCACATTATTACATTTGTCAATTATTCCATTACTGTGTTTTGTGATGTTGCTCTCAGCAGAATTGATCTTGAAGAGATTAATCCATTTCTAGCAGTAATTTTATCACTTGAGTTTGTTGTGATTCCTCCCATTGTGAATCCTCTTGTGTATGGCCTGAAGCTACCAGAAATTAGAAAATGTATTTCAAGTATGTTATCATGCTCAAAATTTGACAAACAACCTATCTAAGGGTAGCCTGTGCTGTTTCTAATTGTCAGTGGTCTGACTTCTTTCATCATTACTTTCAAACTAGCTGCAGCAATGATGTGTGTCATAGTCAAGAGGGTGAATACTGAATACAGTTACTTCATTTTAAAATGTAATTTAAAGTAGAGACTGTGGAGATTTATTTTGAATACAAAATTAAAGTCTTTTTTCCATTGATCAATTTCAAAATGACATAATAACTTCCATTGCACTCAGTGTTGTAATCAAATAAAACATTATAAAAAAACTCCAAGGTGGTTAAATATTTTTGGGAAAAAGAGTTTGTGATGAAAAGTTATTGTTTGACCAAAGAGTCGCTGGGAAAAATGGCATTGTGAACCTTGCATAAAGGACCTTTTTAAATAAAAAGTGCTGTAATCACATAAAAATGACCTGAATTAAACCCAGTTATTGTGAAAAGAAACAGGATAAAAAGATATTTTAAATAACAGTGATCCTGCTTAGTATTATCTCCCAAGTTATTGGTTATATTACGTATTATGTCTGTATGTATTCATGTGATAATTTACTTCAAAAGCTATATAATTATATTTAAGATTGAACACTTTGGGTCTCTGTATTTTTCTCCCCTGCATGAGTAGACAGACACTTTGCATGCAGGTAATTTGAAGGTGTAGGGGAGCAAAGTGAGCAGTGTAAATGAAGCATAAATTACAGGGAAAAAAATAGCGTGTAAACCCAATTAAGATGTAATTCTGCTGTTTTTTTATTTGAATGTTTTCGACAGTCAGACAATTACAAGTTAAATGATTTTTCACCTGAAATCCACCTGGGTTGTATTAACACAATTTTTAAAACTTATTTTTTAATTCAGACAGAACATAATAAATTTTGAACAGACATGCAAAGGTAATTTCAAAAACAATTAAATCACTGTTTGGCATAGTGGAGCCACTGAAAAAGGGCTTTCTCTGTGCAACAGAGAAGTAATTTACGATCAATCCATTCATCCATTTTCAACCGCTTATCTGAAGCAGGGTCACAGGTAGGGATGGGCAGCACAAGCAAAAACACTATTCGAAAATCGTGGCAACTATTCAACAATTTTTCGAATAATCACACCGCTGTAGCAATCCTATACTGCCCTTGTGCGGTTAGGAGCTGAATTGTATGTCAAATAAAGGGGGGAAATAAGACGGTGAATAGTAATAGTCGCATTCAAAAATCGATTTTTCAAAAATAAAACTATAAATATAACTATAAATATAACTATTCAAAATTCGAAAATCGTGACCCATCCCTAGTCACAGGGGTAGCAGGCTGAGCAAAGTATTCCAAACATCCCTCTCCCCAGCAACGCTTTTCAGCTCCTCAGCTGTGGGATCGAGGTGTTCCCAGGCCAGACAAAATATGTAATCCCTCCAGTGTGTTTTGGGTCTGCCCCAAAGCTTCCTACCACTTGGCACAGAGCAGGCATCCTAATCAGGTGCCCAAATCACCTCAACTGACCCCTTTCAACATGAAGGAACAGCGGCTCTACTCCGAGCTCCCTCCGGATGTGCGAGCTCCCTACCCTATCTCTAAGGCTGAGCCCAGCTAGCCTTTTGAGGAAGCTCATTTGGCTGCTTGTATCCGTGATCTCATTATTTCGGTCATTACCCAGAGCTCATGACCATAGGAGGGTTGGGACATAGATGGACCAGTAAATGGAAAGCTTTGACTCGCAGCTTGGCTCTCACTTCACCTTCTGGCACAGCGCCCGCACCATTGCAGACACTGCACCAAACTGCCAATCCATCTCACTTTCCATTCTACCCTCACTTGTGAACAAGACTCGAGATACTTGAACTCCCTCACTTGGGGCACTAACTCACTCCCAACCCAGAGGGGGCAACCCACTGTTTTCAAGCAAAGAATCATGGCCTCAGACTTGGAGGTGCTGACTCTCATCCCAATTGCTTCACACTTGGCTGTAAACCACCCAAGTGCATGCTGGAGGTCATGGTGTAATGGAGCCAATAGAACCACATCATCTGCAAAAAGGGGAGATGCAATTCTGAGGTCACCAACTGGACCCCTTCCTGCCCCTGGCTGTGCCTTGAGATCCTGTCAATGAATATCATGAACAGAATCGGGGGCAAGGGACAATCCTGGCAGAGGCCAACACCCACCAAGAACGTGTTTGATTTTGTGCCAAGTAAGCGAACGCAGCTCTCACTTCGATTATACAGGGACCAGATGGCTTGGAGCAGCAACCCTGGTACCCTGTATTCCCACAGTAACCCCTACAAGACTCCCCTTGGAACACAGTCGTAAGCCTTCTCCAAGTCCACAAAGCACATGTAGACTGGATGGGCAAACTCCTACTACCCCTCCAGTAGCTCTGCAAGAGTAAAGAGCTGGCCCACTGTTCCACGAGGAGGACAGAAACTGCATTGCTCCTCCTGAATCCGAGGTGTGACAGCTGGTCAAAGCCTCCTTTCCAGCACCCTGAAATAAACTTTCCCAGGGAGGCTGAGCAGTGCGATATCCCAATAATTGGATCACACCCTCTGGTCCCCCGTTTTAAAAATGGGGACCACCATCCCGGTCTGCCACTCCACAGGCACTGTGCCCAACCTCTGCCATGAATAGGGAGAAGAGTTCCCCTGAGTCCTCAGGCTCTGCCTCCTCCATGGAGGATGTTATGGGGGTTTAGGAGTTCCTCAAGGTACTCCTTCCACCACTTGACAATACCCCCAGTCTGGGTCAGCAGTTTTACTCCCCCACTGTACACAGCCTGAGACAAGCCCTGCTTTCCCTTCCTGAGGCGTAACAGTTTGCCAGAACTTCCTTGAGGCCAACTAAAAGTCCCTCTCCATAGCCTCCCCGAACTCCTCCCACACCCAGTTTTTTGCTTCAGCTACCACTGCAGCTGCAGCCCTTCTGGCAAGTTAGCAGTTGTTTTCCAATTATTTAATAGACTGTTTCTTTAAAGGTAATAAAAGTGCAGTGTTTCCACTGCCATAAAGATTAGAGGGCAGCGCACTAACTTATATTGTCCAAGCACTCACTCAGCTCCATCAGTAATGATGCAACATCAATACAAGTAGTAAACAACACACCAGTGGGCTAACTGCAATCATAACGACAAATGAAAATGTGGAGGTGGTGGAAAAATTATAAAACTCAATGCAAAAGACAACAAACCAGTAACAGTGTCTATACTCAAGTTCATCTGATAGGGCTATGGGTTTTGGAACCCCAGACATAGAACACACTTTGGCTGGGGACGATGCTGTTCAGGTGAGATGAACCCATCTGGTGAGCCATGGAATCCACTTTGTCATGGATGGACCCAGGGACTAGGATGAGGCCTAAACCTGGACTAGGTAGATTTACATGGGGCTCTGTTATGGTTGCAGTCCAGGCAGTGGTGAAGGATGTATTCAGATTGTTTACTTAAGTAAAAATACTAACACAACAATGCAGAAGGGCGGCACGGTGGTGTGGTGGTTAGCACTGTCACCTCACAGCAAGAGGGTTCCCGGTTCTATCCCGGGTGTGGGAGCCCTTCTGTGCGGATGCATGCATGTTCTCCCCGTGTCAGCGTGGGTTCTCTCTGGGCACTCCGGGCTTTCTCCCACAGTCCAAAGACATGCAGATTGGGGATTAGGTTAATTGATAACTCTAAATTGTCCGTAGGTGTGAATGTGAGCGTGAATGGTTGTTTGTCTCTATGTGTCAGCCCTGCGATAGTCTGGCGACCTGTCCAGGGTGTACCCTGCCTCTCGCCCAATGTCAGCTGGGATAGGCTCCAGCCCCCCCGCGACCCTCAAGAGGATGAAGCGGTTAGAAGATGAATGAATGAATGAACAATGTAGAAATACTCCAGGTACAAAGTAATTTCCTGTCTATTGGTTAAATTGTTTTAGCCTTACTTGTATATATTGTTAGTTAATCAAATTTACAACAAAACATCATATTTTATAAGCTTATATTACATTTTCAAAGCAAAAAAGCGATCAAATAAATTAAGTGAATTAAATGTTCAAAGTTTCCCTCTAGAGTATGTTGAGTATGTTGTGTAAAATGCATCAAATAATACCTAAATATGTAACAATAACTAATAGGTCTCAAGAGGCTGCAAACAATCCATTGTAAACACAATAATTGAAACAAAAGATGGGGAGTGATTGTAGAGTTAAAGAACTACTGACATTTTGCTCATCTGACTTGTCTGGGCCTTATCTAAGAGTAGGAGACAGAAATGGTCACTGGTGGAAATTCAGCAAAGGATAGCAAAAAACAACTGGTTTTGCTGGTTTCAAACTGTTGTCTGCAGCTTGGCAGGCATGTAGCCTAGGTGATATGCCATCCACCATTCTCTCCACCTCTAAGTGACAAAAATCATCTTGTATATTATGCCACTTAAGAAATGTTGATATAATATGCATCAAATGTGCAAATGTAACTCATTTGTGGTTTGCAGAAACTAATAAACATTTTCTTCTGCCAGCTGGGCTGAGTAGGGATGGGGCCATTGCCCCTCCACTTTACATCCCTGGCTCATATTCATTTTAAGTCATGGATCACTGTATCGTGACTGAGGTGATCCAATCGCAAAATGGTCTTTAATTATTTTCATAATTTTGCTTTATCCTTAATAATTTTGCTATTAGGACTGTTGGTTGGGCCAAAATGCACTTTTGGACATCAGAGTAATTTCACAAATGTTCAGAAACAAAACATTTTTCTTTCAAAAATAAACAATTTATGGAGAAAGTAATTAGCAGATTAATCCATAATAGAAATAGTCAGTAGTGGGGTGTCGGTGGCTTAGTGGATAGAGCAGGCACCCCATGTACAAGGCTGTTGTCGCAGCGGCCTGGGTTCGACTCTGTGGCCCTTTGCTGCATGTCATTACCCCTCTCTCTCTCCCCCCTTCACGCTTAACTGTCCTATCTATAAAGGCAAAAATGCCCAAAAAAATATCTATAAAAAAAAAAGAAAAGTTGCTGTCCTACAAGAGCTGGACAGAGGATCAGTGGCTCTAAGGCGGTATTTGCGGAAAGTGGCTGATCAGGGAATGAGATACGGTTGAGGAAGTGTGTGTGGTAGTCCCGGCAAAGCAGCAGAGCAGATAAGGGAAGTGGGAACAGGTGAGTAAGTGGGTGGGGCAGTGAGGTGATGGGGAAAGGAAGGAAAGTCTGAGGGCATCTGCCAAATAAATGAAAAATGGCAGTAATGAAGGGGCCTAGGTAGG